TGTTTACCCTAGGTTTCTCCATGGAGATCCTGGTTTTGTTGGAGGCAAAGTGGCATCAGCCTTCTACTTCCATAGAGGATGGCATTAACTTTGTGACTGCCACACAGGGTAGCATCTGCCTTCCACTGACAGACCCAGGTGATCAGAGAAACTTTCCTGTGGGTGAGGAACTAGAGAGACTGGCCTACCTTGGAGGGGCAAAGGCGGGGGGGGCAGTCAATTTTTCAGTGCCTTGCTCATGTACAGTTTAGGCAGGGTCCTGGCAGTGGGCAAGGCTTGGGGCAGTTTTTTTCCAGTGGTTAGTGTTACTATAATCCAGGTGGAGTCGTCTTATTGGAGGAGCTGTCTACCACAGAAGCCTTTATTGCTAAACAATGTAAGATGTCGTATTCAGCAGATCTCTCTCTGGACAGTTTTGAGGGCCACTTATTAAGTACACCTGATCTCAAACAAACTTGTTTCAAGTTTAACCCTGAAAACACACAGAAAGATAAAGATTGTTCCTGCAAATGAATTACTTTATACTTAGCATTAAAGAAGTTGATGGGTGAATTTTGAGGACATTCAAGGACAAACATTTTGGTTAAATCCATGACATTATTTTGAGATAATTTGGACACCCAGAAGGCCTGCTATTTAGCACATCGTTACTGAACATAGTAAACAAAATATCATTTATGTTGCTTTGCTTTGAATAATAGGCTTTTATTTACATCTCTAATTATCCAGCCTCTTTAGTGTTATTTCCCAATTTTTTTCTGGTTGTTCAGGCATTATATGAAAGAACATTACAAAGGTAATTGACTATGTTCCCCATGTATAAAGATTTTTAATCTCTGCATATGTAGCCTTAATATATTATTTATCAAATGTATATTTTAGTACTATTTTTCATAAACCTTATTTTTATGATTTTGTCCTCATCTTTTATTTTTACTCTAGGGACAAGAATTATCATACAAAAATCCATCTTAATCCAAAATATCTTGCTGCCTCTTTAGTTGGCTAAAACTATGTGATCATCTTCACCAAGATCTATTTTTTTCATGCAATAGTCAACTTTATTCAGAGTTTCAGGCAATTTTACTCTTAGGGTCAAGAAGAATCATACGAGTAAAGTGCACATTGGCAATGACAAGCTTGGCAAATACATGCTTTTCCAAAGTGCAAACAAACAGTATCCAGTTGCAATCTGAAGTAAACTCACTCCTCTCTGTTGCACCTGGGAGGTGGGGGAAAACAATTGCATGTTTTGAAGAAACTGAGATCACAAAACTCTTGTCTTTTTTTCTTGAAGTTTTTTGTCTTTTTTATTTAAATTATAAACAAGCTTGTTTACATGTCAGTCCCAGTTCCCTCGCCCTCCCCTCTTCCCCTGCTCCTCACCAACCCCCTATCCCATCCCCTTTCTGCTCCCCAGGGAGGGTGAGGCCTTCCATGGGAGATCTTCAGAGTCTGCTATATCATTTGGAACAGGGCCTAGGCCCTCCCCCATGTGTCTAGGCTGAGAGAGCATCCCTCTATGTGGAATGGGCTACCAAAGTCCATTCATAAATTAGGGATAAATACTGATCCACTACCAGAGGCCCCATAGATTGCCTAGGCTTCCTAACTAACATGTACTTTCAGGGGGTCTGGAACTGTCCTATGCTGGTTTCCCAGCTATCAGTCTGGGGTCCATGAGCTCCCCCTTGTTCAGGTCAGCTGCTTCTGTGGATTTCTCCAGCCTGGTCTTGATCCCTCTGCTCATCACTCCTCCCTCTCTGCAACTGGTTTCCAGGAGTTCAGTTCAGTGCTTATCTGTGTCTGCTTCTGCTTCCATCAGTCACTGGACGAATGCTCTAGAATGGCATATAAGGTAGTCATCAATCTCATTATAAGGAAAGGGCATTTAAGGTAGCCTCTCCACTATTTCTTAGATTGTTAGTTGGGATCAACCTTGTAGATCTCTGGACATTTCCCTAGTGCCAGATTTCTCTCTAAACCTACAATGGCTTTCTTGAAGTTTTCTACAAGCGCCTGCCTTCTCACATTCTTCGACCACGTTCTGATATCTCCCTTTTTACTATAACTTTTTAATTTTATTGAACATAGATTCTTTTCTAATATACATATATATACATACACATAGATATCCTGATTACATTTTCCCTCCCTCTGCCCCTCTCAGTTCCTTCTCCCCTCCCCTCCCCTCTGGACCCACTCCCTTTCTGTAGCTCATTAGAGAAGACAGGCTTCTGAAAGATAAGGACCAAACATGAAAAAAGTAAAATACAATAAGATAAAACAAAAACCATCATATCGAAGTTACTCAAGGCAAACCGACAGGAAAAAGAGTCCTAAGAGCACGCAGAGATCCACTTGTTCTCATAAAAATGCTAAGCTAAAAGCTGTAATACCTGCGCAGAGGACCCGGTACAGGCCCGTGTTATTCCTGTGCTAGCTTCAGTCTCCCTGAGTTCTTAGTTCTTGCTTAGTGATGCAGAAGGCTTTGTTCTCCCGGTGGCCTCCATGCTTGGCTCTTGCATCGCCTCAGCCTGGCAGCACAAGGATGGCAGCAGCCAGAGTTGCAGAGAGAGCCCTGGCTAGAGAGTGACAGACAGACATGCATGCAGTGGCCACTTTCAGTCATATACCCAATAGTTCCTATCTGAGGGGGACAAGAGAATTATAAGGACTCAGGCACTACGCTGGCCTGCCCTTCTCCCTGGCAGATTGCACTCAGGCAGTACCCTGGTCAGCCCAGGTGCAAAGGGCCCCTTTGAAAGAAAGACCTCCGTCCACGCATGCTCTGTTTCGGCGCTCTTTTCTTTCCCTCTGTTTCCTTATCACTTTCCCGCTGTTCCCCAGAGGCAGACAGGATTTTTCCTGTCTCCCTCTTCTCTCCTCTCCTCTCTCTGTCACTGTCTCTGTCTCATCTCTTTTTTCTCATTCCTTCTAATAAAACTTCTCACTAAGCTCTGACTGCCTGGCATGTTTGTCTCACTAAGCTCAACCTCGCCTGCCATGGAATCTGCCAAGTTTCCCCACAAAGTTTATCATGACCAGAATATTTTTTCTGCCCAGAGGCTGGATTAATGATTTCATCACATCCATCCTAAGACCTGGATCATCCAGACTCCAAAACAGAACAAAACAACTCACCTGGAGTCAGTGACTAGCAATTGTTCAATTTTCAAATTCGTGGCAGTCACAGTCTGGGCTCCTGCCTAGGGTCTCTCAAGGTCACCTTGGACTTGTTCCCGTGGGGTCTATCACAGACTAGTGACTGTTAATTCGTGGCAGCCATGATCTCAGGTCCCTAGACTCCAAGTGCATTGGGTGGTCTCACAGTTGTGTGCTCTCTGAGACACTAAGTCTTGGGGCTTCTCCCAGACCCCTGGCCCCGAGCCTGGGGCCTCCCAGGGATCTCACTGGGGTCTCCAAAATATTACAGAGTTTGAAACCACCAGGGAAAGGCCCACGAACAAAACAAAACTTAATTTTAAAAGGTCGAAAATACATTTGTTTCACTTATAGCAATGTTGTGACAACCTCCTTTGTCAATCTGAGAGCTGCAAAAGAGGAAGGCAGCAGCTGGAGGTTTTAAATCCACAGCTGTCTCAACTCTGGAGATTTTTGCTGCAGACGCATTAGCACGCTTGTATGTTTTTGGTTTTGCTTTTGTTTTCCTGAGCAATCAGTCATAAACAGTGATGGTTAGCATTACATTTACGGTTTTACTACTGTGCTTAAGCAGCCTCTAGCTTGTAACCCCCAGCTTGTATGGGCTATACCCTGTCAGCTTGCTTCCCCTTTTGCCCAGACACGTGGCCTATTCTTACGTTGAGTTATCTTGTCAAATTTGCTATTCCTGAAAGATAGTAAGTCATAAGACTACTATTTCTGCTTTTGTAATCAAACTTATACTCTGCTCAAAAAGAGAGCTATGAGGCCCAAATTGTAAGTTGTGGTTGGTTTCTCCGTTATAAGCCAGGCTGATATGGCTGGATGACGCATCTTGGAGCACTCTCAGGTGCAGCCGGGCCTGGTGACAGCATTTAAACAAAAAGTCTCTTCTTACTAAAAGCTATGCATGGTCTTGGTGAGTCTCTGAGCAACCCCAGGCCCACAATAAAATGAGATTACAGAATGAGCATTGTGTTTCAGATAACAATTACACAGGAAGGGGGGAAGAACCAGGTGGCTCTGAAGTCAGTCTCCTCTTTAGATGGCTGTCAACAATCAACAGTCATGAGGCTGACCTTGGGGCCATGGTCTAGACATCCTGTGGTTAACAGTTCTTAGGCTAAGAGTAAGGTCCCTCTGATGCCTGGGTTTGTTTGCTACTTTATTTATCATTTAACACAGTAACTGAGTTTGAAACCCAGTTTGAAATGGTGGTGGTTTTTAACCATTACAGTAAAAGTAGTTATCAGTTGCTAAGGAGAGGAGACTCTCCTGTGGAAATGACAAGTTGGGTAGTGAACTCCAGGGACCCAGCTTTCATAAGCTCCCACTGATGACACGGTGAGCATTTCAGTGACACAGCTGCCTTTGAGTCACCCACACTCCTCTAACCCCTCAACCACGTCCCAGTGAGTAGCCCCAATAAACTCATTGGTTTGCCAAGTTAAACTTAAGAGCAATCATTCTGGGGAGGGAGTTTAGGAGTACCCTATCTGCGGTGCACAGACGTTTGTTTATATTTCCCTGGGAAACAGGTAAGATGTGGCTTTCTCGGAGGGTCATAGTGGAAAGGGTATATTTATTTATTTACATGAGGCAGGGCCTCAGAGTTCAGGCTGGTTTGGAACTTTCAGTATAGCCAAGGAGGAGCTTGCATTCCTGACCTTCCTGCCTCTACCTCCCGAGTGCTGGGATTGCAGGTGTGGGCCACCATACCTGGACATTTATGGTACCCGAGGTTTCATGCATTCGAGGCAAGCATTCTACCAACCATAGCTACAGCGCAAACTCTGAAAATCCCTGACCTGAAAGAATCAAGCAACACATTTGGATAACTGGTAAATGGTGCTACTTTAATCAAATGAGGATCCACAAAAAGCATCAAAGTTTATGGAAAACTCTGCGATTGGCCCTTGCTTGTAAATCTTCAGATGGCCTGGTAAATGTCTGTAAGGGAAAATGCCCGGTCAGCCTACTTGGCTCATTGCACTTCTAAATAAGAAGCACGGTACACTGTGCTCCAGAAGTCACAAATGTGAATTGGGAAATGGCGTGAGTAGCCAGTAGCTGGCCTGCAGACAACTCTGCACTATTCAGGTCTCTTTTAATGTTCTTTCCACACAGAGACAGTGGGGGTAAAAGCACTCACTATCCAATTGGAGGTAATGTGCCAGCCAATCACAGTGGGTAGGTTTCCACAGGTAACTGCTTGCTCATGTGCGATAAAGCAGATGCTGTTCTCCAGAGCAGGTCATCTCCAGGCCCTTTAATGACACACGGGCATTGTGGTCTTGCCAGGAGATGCCCCAATAATGGTGGCAAATGTCTTCATCTACCAAATGGCAAGGATAAGAACCATCAAATCAGGTTGATTCATTAACAATCAACTGATGCCAGAGATGTGAATACATTGTGTTGATAGATTAGTGTCAGACTCATGCCAGAATCACTCCTGCAGGTATTTTGTAACGTAGAAGGAGGCAGAGGAGAGACTGAAGACACTGCCTGCAATCGCAGGGAGCAGCAGCATCCATCACTTCAGCAAGACAGGAGGCACTGCAGGAAAACGCTCCAGAGAACGAAAGATGTAGATGTTCGAGGGAGGACTGAATGTAAGGCAGCAGATCATCAATCGGGAGTACTTCCCAGCTGCTTCTAAGAATAACAAGTTGTCAAAGTTTCCACCAAGTGAAGCAAGACGGGGGTACAATGAGATTTTGGAAAAACACGTGTTGAGTAATTCAACTGAGCAAGTAGCTGCAGCATTCACTGTAGATCAGAAACTTTCTTCAGTGTGGAACATGTACTGCATAGATTCTAACTTTCTGTAACATTCTGGTTTTCATCTCCAGACAAATCTACGATTAAAACATAATCTTTTCTAGTAAGGCAATTGCTAGTTCAGAATTACAAATAAGCACACAGTTTCTAAAGTCCTGACCGTGTGTTTGGAAAATGACGAGTGTGTTTAACCATCTGACTGATGCCGTGATATTTGGAAATCAAATGTGATGTCGTGATGCATGCTTTTCTTTCTGCAATCTGTAGGTGATGGTGGTGTGTTCATTTGCTTTGCCTCTGGGAACTAAGCAACTAACATGTCTTTAAACCCACTATGGCTTAGTGAGATCCATGCATATCAATGAAATATGTTCCAAGTTGTGGCCGAATGGAAGGGCCTGGTCTTTTCTGTGTAGCTCATAATGCCATAACTGACACCTGTAAGCAGGTACTCAGATAAGTGAATGGGTGCTCAGAACTATACCAGGCCAGGTCAGCGTGGGGAAAGGGCCTAAGAACAATAGGTAGCAGTGGAATTAAAATGTGGAGATTTATGTTCAAAGTCATTTAAATCTGGCAAATCTGGCACTAAAGTCACCATCACCTCTTAAAATGTCCCTTGGTGGAACATAAGGTGGAAATCTGCCCCTTGGCTGTCTTGTGGCCATAATATTATAACTCCCCCTACTGAGAGACAGGATCTGTCTGTCTCTGGAGGGCAGAGAGATCTCATAACTTGCTTTGGTACATAGAATGTATATGTGACCTGTGTGATTCCTGTGGCTATGGCTTAAGAAGTCTAAGTGCTTCTGCCCATGGTCCACAGCCAGGCACTGGAACACCACTGGAGGACGGGAGGCTCCACTCTGCTGTTAGATGTGTGAGTGGGGTTACCTGTGCCCCTCAGCACAGCTGATTCTCCAGCTGGGGGAACTACAACCCGCTACCCGACAAATCCCTGGGACAAGTCAGGGTTTAAAGATGAAGGCTCACTTTAGCTCACAGTTTGGGGAACTGCTCCCATTGCTTTGGTGTCCAAGGCAGTAGCACATCATCATTGCACTGGGGAAGAGAAAAACCGTTCAAACCACGACTTAGAAAAAAAACCACTATTGGTACAGGCTGGGGACCAAGCCTTTAACACACATTGCAGATCCAAACCACAGCAGAAACAAAGCCTACATTTACTATCTAGTCCTTAAGACAAAACTTTCCCAACCCTTAAACCCTTGAAGCAGAATGCAACTTTGTTGAATGAGCTTAGACAACTCTTAGAATTGAGAAGTATTACGATGGTGATGAAATGATAATTTTGCCATCCTGGGGACTGAACCTGGGTCCTTATGCATGTCTGTTGTATGATGAAACTTTTCCTGGGGACATGCATAAGATGTCTTCTCAGCCCAGCTAATGATGCCACTACAGACCAAAGCACCAATACCACCAACATCCAACCTGGGAGCTCAATGAGTTTTATTGGGATTACTTACAGAAGCAGAAATCATTTAAGCATAGCTGCACCACCAAGGTCCATCCCAGCATGGATGACAGTTCACTGAAGCCAGGAACCTAGAGCACAGGCTGCAGGCAGCTCAACAGGTTGGAGAGTGTCTTTACTGGGTGACTATGGTCTACACCTCTACAGGCAGCTTGGCTGGTTTCTGCTGCCTCTAGACAGCTGGTCTGCTCTCAAGAATCTTCTTTGCCCCCTTCTCCTATCAGAGGCTTCTTTGCTGCTGAGGTTGTCTGAGAGTTTCCTTAGCAGTTCAGCTTCCTTCCATCTGAGGAGTACTCTTGGCTGTTAATGATTACTCTGGTGGGGAAGGGTCTAGTCTTTCTGGTCAGATCCAGGGATTGCCTAAAGCTAATTTGAAGTGTTTACCTTCCTATTTAAGGAACTTCCTGCAGGATGGAATGTTTCAATCTAGAAGGAAACTGTTACACAACAATGCCAGGCAAATACTCAACCATGGCTGTGGGAGAATTGTTAGTACAGGTATTTCACTGCGCCAATAAAGCCTCCCTGAATCAAAGGACAGAGCCAGCCATCGGGACATTGGGATTAGCCACAGAGTTCTTGGAGGACTGGGGAAGCTTGCTAGTGAGGACAGGAAGAGAGAAGAGGGGCCTCCTGGGACTGGTGGTTTAGGAATAAGGGGAAGAGAGAGACAGGCAATTGACTCTCCCCTGTCCTTGGATTTATCAGGTCTTTATCTCAATCTCTGACTCCCAAGCTTTTTATTGTACTGGAACAATTTACATAACAATTACATCTGGCATCCAGCACACGGAATTATTAGACCACTCCAAGGCAGTGAACCCACCACGCTGTCGCGTCTGCCTCGACCAGCAAGGAAGACGCGACTCGGGAATTCTTCTCCAAGCAGTTTATTCAGGAACCTTGAAACAGTCTTCTTCTCCTCCCCCGGGGGAAAGCCAGTCCACAGCTTATATGGCCTAGGCATAGCCAACCCCAGCACACCACTTGGCGACAGCAGATAGGTCCACATACACGGGAGCAAGCCGGGACCGGAGCCTTGACCACATAAGGAGTTGTTTACTCCAAGAGCGCTCACCGTCAGGAGGGTGGTAGGCGAAAGCCCGCACCATCTTTAATGTGCGGCACATCACAGCTGTCCACACCACGCCACCACCCGCCCCTGGTGCTGCAATAGCTGCTTGTCACCCTCTCCACGGCCTCTGCACCTGTCTTTCCACGCCCATGGCGTCTTCATCAGTCTTTCTACAGCAGCCCCAAACACTGCTGGGGTCAGCCGCCCCACCACCAGCCCGCACCTTCTCCTACTGCCACACAGGCCTCTCCCAAACACCCTCTCGGGTTCACGTTGAGGCTCTGCGTGCTTGGCACAGGGTTGAAGAATCAGGAAAGAGGACTGAGTCATTTACTAAAATTATACATGGCTCAAAAGAAGCCTTCACTGACTTTTTTTAAAATAAAGATTGACTTCAACTGTAAATAGAATAATATCAGATCTAGAAGTTAGACAAATATTAATTAAATCTCTGGCTTTTGAGACTCTACTTTCAGAATGCAAAAGGGTGGATAGGCCTTTAAAGGTAAGATCAGCATTCATAGATGAATGAATCCAAAATACAGCTCATATTAGATCTTATGCTTATGATGCTGCTTTGACAGAAGTAATTTCCAGAAATTTTTAAGAAAAATAAAAATATCAGATGCTTTCATTGTGGTAAACAAAGTCATCTGAAAAGGGACTGTAGACAAAGCATTCCAGAAAAAAATAACTTTTGTAGAGATAATCTAAACAGAAAGCCCCAGAATCTATGGCAAAGGCTAGCAGTGGAATAATGGATACAGATCAACAAGGGACAGACAAGGTGACCCTCTGCCATCAGGAAATACCCTAAGGGGCCTCCTCCAGGTCCCAATATCAAATTTGACTCAATCATTCCTTGTCAGCACCAGAGAAACCCATCCACAGAGCAATTAGAAGACTTAAAACTGTTGTTAAAACCCACACTGCTCTGGACATGATCAAGGACAGTACAATGTCTATAGATACAACAAAGGGTTCAGGACAGACCAGAAAATAAGTATTTTAGCAAATGACTATACACAATCAGAGACCAAAGATAAAATACATGTAAATGGCATTGAATTCGCGGGTTTGGTAGACACAGGTACATATGTTACAATAATTTCACCAAAATCTTGGCATCCAGATTCTCCTCTTCAGCAAGTAAATGTTCAGCTTCTTGGGAATCAAACATTATCTCAGGTAAAATAAAGTTCAACATGGGCTGAATGCAAGGGATACCAACTTCTGGAGCCCCTACATTCTGTAGTGATGCTAACAAATCAGGAAAGGCGGGTTATAAGTCAAGAAAAATAAGTGAAGAGGCTCAAAGTCAGAATTATATGCTATTCTCATGATATTATTTGATTTTCCAGAACCTCCTGATATACTGACTCTCAATATGCAGAGATTTTTTTATGTATTGAAACTGCTGAACTTCTTCCAGATGATTCAGAATTAACTTTGCTATTTATTCAAGTACAATAAATAATGAGAAATAGAAATCATCCCTCTATATAACACAAAGTAAATCCCATATGGGTCTACTAGGCCCTCTAGCACGTGGTAATGATGAAATTGATCAACTATTGGCAGTAAATGTGATTGAATCTCAGAATTTCATAAAAATACCATATCAAAAATTTCAAGATTGATATATATGTTTAAACCTTCTGTCTTGATATTAATGGTCATATGGAGTGCACTAACTTATTCTAGAATTAGGTCTTATCTAGCTTCCTCTAGGTAATTTCAGGCTTGAGTCTAGAGCAGGTAACTAGGAACTTAGTTTGTGTACCCTGAATATATTTAATAGACTGTGCTGCATATTATTGAACCATGACCATTCCTAACAGTGACCTTTGAAGTCTCCAAAAAGGCATTGGGGCTCCACAATAATGAATCTTCATGGATTATGGTAATGACACTAAGCTGACAAACACCATCCAAAGATCAACTTCAGACTACAAACTGCTCAGGACAACTTCAAGCAGGTAGCTAAGATGGTTCCATCTCGTAGACTACTCCAGTCAGGGTTTCAGATAAGCCTTACACTCTCCCATCACAAAAAAACAGGTAGCTTGTTTAGAACTTGATCTTTTCTCAATCCTTTCAGGGCTCCGAATGATGCTGTCATCCCTAGAAAACAGAAAGTAATTTAAAGAACATGATATCCACATTCACAAGAAGTTGTGTAGGTGGTATTTTGTTGTTCAATGGATATTTGTCATTTAGGGAAGTTTGTCACAAGTTGTTGTTAGTCATGGTCAAGGAGGAAACTAAGCAAAGGAAATTAGATTTAGAGATCTCATCTTGAAAAGAAAAAGGGGGGATATAGAAATGACAGGATAAAAGGGTAGATTATTGTTTAAGACATTTTTGTATATTGATGCAAATTTAAGGATACGTTTGTTATACTGTATTATATGTTTTTATATTTTGTTTAGCATATTGTACCTATGCAACTCATTTTAAATGTAATATAAAATTCTCATTCTTGAAAGCTACTTAGAAAAATAAAGAAATACAGGTTAGTAGGTTGTCATCTACAATAATAAAACTTACAGTCATGTTGGGTATTGTACTCATGGTTAACTGGAGACATATTTTAACTAGATAGATGGTGTTCAAACACTTCAGAGACCTACAGCCTATGGCATTTTAATGATTTAATAACATAACATTTTTTCATGACTAGGAGACACATCTGCTTCTGAAAACACTAATACATTCCATAGAAGATGATGGACACTGAAGAACCTTCATGTGGAGTTTGCTTTCATTTGTAGCAAAGTTAGCTAGTGTGCTAGGAAACAGTCCTTGTCACAACTGCTGACAGAATGCTGTCTAAATTGGACAAGCAGGACACAAAAGAAGGTGACTGTTGAACTTTGCCAAGACAAGGTGGGATGGTACTTCAAAATTCCTGCTTCACAGGAAAGTCTGTCAGATATTTTAGGTCCATAGGCCAAAGATGGATGCCCCAACATTGCAGAAGGCCCCTGGGATGACTGTCCAGGAAGCCAGGATTGAAGATTAGATAGGTATAGTTCCAGCTTTCCTTAGTTATGATAGAAAGTTATTAGGTGCAAAACTTTGGACTCACCAAGATGAGATAGATAACATTTTCTCGAAATTTGACAAGTACTGATGGACTGAACATTGTGAATGTATTTCTTACTTGATAGTTGTTTTATTGCATATAATTTTACTATGTTAGAGTTAAAAACCTTTCCTTTTTATTTAGACAAAAGGGGGAAATGTTGCTGGAGAATTGTTCACACAGCCATTCCACTGTGCCAATAAAGCCACCTTGACTCATAGGACAGCGTTGGTGATTAGCTGACGGGATTATCCATAAAGTTCTTAGAGGATTGAAGAGGTCTACCAGAGAGGAGAGGAAGAGAAAAGAGTGGATTTGGGGGGCTGGTGGTTCATGAAAAACGTGGAGAGAGGGTCAGTCAATTGACTTTCCACTGTTCTTGAATTTATCAGGTCTCTGTCCCAATTTCTGACTCCTAATTTTTTATCATTCCAGAACAATGTAGATAACCGTTCTGTTGTAGGGTAAAAAGGGCATTGGAAGACCACCCTGGCCCTGAGACCAGAGTCAGTGGAGCACACCTGCTCCTAACCAACCCAGGAATTGTAATTCAACCAATACCTGAGCATGAAAACACTCCAGTCCTTGAGCAAGAAATCCAACCAATCTCTGAGTTTGTCCCAAGCCCAGGAATTGAGATCCTACCAATCCAGACCCTAAAAATCTCCACCTTAGAAAGCTTCACCCCTAAGGAACCCTCTATAAGCTCTGAACCTGTTCAGGTTGGGGCTGCTATTTTTCCACCCTGGCAGAAGTAGCCACTCTCCTGAATTTCTCCTTTCAGTAAGTCGCAGTGGTGGTGCACATCTTTAACCCCAGCACTCAGAAGGCAGAGTCAGGTGGATCTCTGTGAGTTCAAGGCCAGCTTAGTCTACAAAACAAGTTCCAGGACAGGCTCAAAGCTACACAGGAGAAACCCTGCTTGGAAAAGCAAAACAAAGCATTAAATCTCTTATGTGAGTTTTATTATAGACTTTTTTTGCCAGAGTAGAGCAGAAATGTAAGTTTTCACCAGAGCAGAGCAGGAGCTAAGTAGGAACAGAGCAGAACTGTAACACTTTTTCTGGGTAAACTTTCCCTTGCTGGAGAATTGTTACACTCAGCGGAAGCTAAACAGAACTGTAACATTTCTCCTGAGCAGAGCAGATCAGAAGTTTAACAACCTCACTGAGGAAACCCTTCCCTGCTAGAGAAAAGTTGTTACACTTGCATTAGGGAAACCATTCCCAGAGCAAGGACTTTGCTAGGAGAAACCTGTCCCTGCCCAGAACAGAGCTGTAACAATTTTGTTGGGATACCTTTCCCTTCAAAGCTATAGGTATTCCTTGGTTTCTGACTGCCAGTATACTTTTCCTTTTAGAGCTGTAACACTTTAACACTTACATACAAACAACTAAGCTATATCATCAGATTAAATTCATATTTGTATAGGCAGCTAAACTTTGAGATGGATTGTTCTGAATCATAGCTGAATCCCCAGCTGTTAGATGCTATAGGAATGAGAGAGAAAGAGAGAGAGAGAGATCACATCTTAGCTTGTGAATGTCTTCTCACATTTTATTTTGAGAACTCAAATCCCCTTACCTGAAGCCCCTGAGGCTTTGCAGTCCAGAGAGTTCTGGAATTGGACACATGTACATACTAGTTATTCATGGATCATTAAAAACATTTTAGAAATAGGTGTCATTTTAAGTTTCCTAAAAGAAAGAAGTAAAAATTTAACATTCATATCCTCAATTCAACCACTGAGGTCTATTCTTTTTTCAGTATATTAATCTATCTGCAATGGAACCTGCCTACTTTGTCATTAATAGACCACTTCTCTGTGAAGTGAACTGTCAACCCAGATGGGTGAGGGATGGCTGTGATAAATGTATAGCAAGGAAGCAGCCACCTTACCCTGGATTATAATACCAATGTTTAAACTTCGTTTTGTTGTATTCCCACCCAACCCCAATTCATCTCTGTTTTCAGAAAATATCCTAATTACCACAAGTTATTTTAGGTGTGTCTATTCTTCTTTCTTCTTTTCCAGTGAAGAAAGAGCTGGTAAGAAAGAAAACTGTTGAGCCATGCAATAAAGAAATGGACTGGGTCTTGATTTTGAACAAAAAAACAATACAATCAGTTCTACACATCTGGATTTGTGTTTGTCTATGACAGTATGGTATCTGCTTTCCAAATTGTAACCCGACCCCTAACCTCATCTGGTGATTATGTCCTTGCCTAATCCTTTCACTTTGGCTCTTGGACAGTCTTATGATTCTGATCAATAGAACATGCTAAAGATTTTGCTCCATGAGTCATGTGTGTGTATCTGTGCACTCACATGATATGTGTGTATATGGAAGCCAGAAGTAGTGTTCCTCAGGCACTGTCCCCCCTTAGGTTTTGTTGTTGTTGTTGCTTTTTGAAGCAAGGTCTCTTGCTGATCTGGAGCTCACTGATTAGGTCAAACTGACTATCCAGCAGTTTCAGTGTTCTGCCAGTCTCTGCTTCCCTTGTTATGGGATTTAAAGCACTTAAGAAAAAAAGTGTAATCTGGGGATCAAACTCGGGTCTCCTTGCTTGCATAGCGCTTTTTTCAACTGAGCCATCTTCCGGGAATCATGTGATACTTTCCTACCTGTTATCTTTTAGCTTGTCGTGAACTCTTAGATTATTGGTTCTGATGAAATTCAGATCAACCATCAAAGGCAAATGTAGAATATAATCTGCTTGCACAAGTGAAAACCGCCAATAATATCCACTGATCTGGGCTGAAAGACTGGCCTCTTTGGGGAAGAAGGTTCTCAACACTACCTCTGTCTGTGGAATAGGCAATGTCTTTTGAGTGTTCCCTTGAAGGAGGGAGATTGTCATTGCTTATTACAGGAAACTTGGCAGAGCTCTTGCACAGCAGAACTTGAGAGAGTTTAAATGGATGTTTAAATTTATGTCACACTCATAAGATTCTGACATAAATCAGAGACTAGATGCTTGAAGGTAAAGATTACATAGTCTTGATTTCTCTCCATTATTGAAAATGGATAAGGGAAAGCAGACTTTATATGCCCAAGTTAATACATAAAACGTTAATATAGGAAACACCTGAATTTTGGTTGTTGGTTTTTTTGTTGTTGTTGCTGTTTTTGTTTTGTTTTGTTTTTCTAGACAGGGTTTCTCTGTGTAACAGCCCTGGCTATTCTGGAACTCACTTCATAGATCATGCTGGCCTCGAATTCACAGTGATCTGTCTGCCTCTGCCTCCTCAGTGCCGGGGTTAAAGACATGTACCACCATACCGAGCTAAGATTTTGTCAAATCTTAAAACACATGTCCCAAGACCCTGTAGAACATCACTACTTTTAGTAGAAATATTCATAAATACTCTCAGGAAGCCCAAACTACACAAAACACAGAGCAGTGGGATTTTTAATTAAAGCTAGCATTCAGCTCAATTCTGATGTATCTACTGCTGGGGTACCTGACATCACAGGTGCCAGAAAAATCTAGAGGGTTATTATGCTACATTATCTAAGTACTTGGGCTTGTTTTCAAAGTCTCATGACTGATGTCATAATTTCTTGTACTGAAAAGTCACAATAGTGGGTAGAAAGGGACAACTGATCACAAATTAGGTTTTTCAAGTAGATTTTCAGTGATATGGACCCTGTTTTGCTTGTAGAGCCACTCCTACCATATCCCTCTACCCTGATACTTCTGCAGCACTTGTGGCCAAAAGAATTACACAGTGTGTGAGTCTTACACAGTGTGTGAGTCTTACACAGTGTGTGAGTCTTACACAGTACGTGAGTCTCAAGTCACTGATTCGGCTCCTGTTCCTTTGACATTGTCTTCTATGGTTAAACAAAGCAAAATGCACTCTCAACAGCTGCTTTTCATGCTGAAGGCTGGTCACAGCTCATCTGAAGGTCCCAGCTGACAATCTTGGGAGTGTTATTGCCTTAGCTGCACGTTAGTCTTAAGCACTCTCTTTTCCTGAAGCAATTTAAAACACTGTCTTCCGAAGAATTTTCAAGATCTTCATTTGACATATTACCTGTTAACCACTAAAGAGAAATACTCCCCACCCTTGTTTATAATGGAAAAAATTGGAGATCACCTCTCTTCTGTGCTATCAGTTCTGAGACAGCTGAGATTGTGCTCAAGATATCATATTCTCCCCCTGGGAAACAATGTGCAAAGAACCATCATGCAGGAATCCTACCATCAAGACCCTGGTTTAAGAACATTCTAGAACTAAAGGTAAGTTAAAATCATGCTGGAGGGCAAAAAGAGACACTGAGCGACTTCCAAAAGTACCGCGATGAAAGGGAAATGGGCTGTGCTGCGTCGATATTCCAGAGACATTCATAGAGGCAACACTCTAACCTTTATTAGATCACCTTTCTGGCAAATCAGTGTGACTGTTTGAAAACTAGGAAAACTTGAAATGGTGTCTGTATTAGGTGACGTTATAGAATTCTAGTTTCTCAAAGGTAGTGACGCTGATGTGGTTGTGTAGAAGTCATTAGTTTAGGAAATGCAGTCTGACATAGGAAAGAGTGGGGAAGCCACTCCTGTAGATTAAGTTGTTGAATTGCTTGCCTGTATGTAGGTGCACACTGAGGGATTCTTCCCTTTGCGGTGGAGTGAGGCCAAACTGTTTACTATCTTAAAGCCATGAGGCCCAGAATGAGACTTTGTTTTCGGATGGCACTATTGCAAAGGGCCTTTTGGGCAACAACCAGGAAATTTTATTTTGGAATGGAACCACCTCCACCCAAGGTCCAGATAGCAGGGCCAGAATAGCAACACCCAGCTCTCATGACCCCTCCCTGTCTCCTTTCCTTCCCTCCTGCAGGGAGGCACCATTTGGGTGGGGATGACTCAGAGTGGGGGATAACCAAGTGTCCACAGGAGTGGATTGTTTCTAGAAGCAGTTGGGGGCGCCAGGGGTGCGGGCTGGGTGCCAGAGGCCAACTCCCCGAGCCTCCAGCACACAGGGTCCTCACCTTTCATTGTCTGCACACCTGTAAGGAGACCCGCCTTCTGAGGATGCAAGGACTCCCTCCCTGCTCAGGCCTCCTTCTTTCCCAGTGAGCCCCGGGATGAAATCCTGCTCTTTGGCTAAAGCGGTCAGGCAGCCTGTGGAGGACCGCACGTGCCCAAGAGGAGGGAGTCTTACAGCACCCGAGCCCCGAGACTGCGTCGCAGGTGGCAGCCCCCGCGGGGCGGTGGCCAACAGCGGCGGCGAGGACAGCGCTGGGCTGCGGGCTCCGGGACCGCGCGCGCTCGCGCCTGGAAGAAGTGCGTGGCGGGCGGGCGTGCGTGCGTGCGGCTGCGGGGAGCCGGACTCTGCGAGCAGGAAACGAGCTCCGGCAGCATCGGCAGCATCGGCAGCATCGGCGGGTGCCAGCAGCGCTCCCGAGGTGAGTGCGGGCCGGGCGTGCGGGGCGGAGACTCGGTGGGGCGGCGGCCGAGCGGACCTCCCGGGACAGCCTTCTCGGGACGCGGGGCCGGGCTCCCAGGCCCGAGGATCGGCTCGCTCGTCGCTCCTCCTCCCGGCGCCTCTCGTGGGCGAGCTGCCACGCCCTGGGCTCCGGCCTCCCGGGTGCTCTCGAGGCTCGGGACCAGGGACCCGGGAATCCGGGACACTTGGAGGGGCTCCAGCGCGCGTGGTCAGCCAGGCCGCCGCCACAAGGATCCATTCTGCCCAATCCTGGGCGCTGGAAGCCCGGGGGTGGCCTGACTGTCACCGTGGCCGAGGAGAAGCTGGGAATGGTGTCAGCATACTGGTGGACCCGCGGCAGGCCCGGAGGATCGCACATTCCTGGCAGGAAAGGGCCAGTAGTCCCCTGGGTAGGAGACTGCTTCATGGGCAGGGATGGCGGGGAAGATGGACCCGAGGAAGGGAATGGGAGATTTGGAAAGAGGAAGGAGAAAATTCCCAAGGATTAAGGCTCCCTCCGTAACTAATAAGAGGCCTGAGTGAACATACAAAGCATTTTAAAGAAAATCTTAGATGGGGGGAGCCTCACCTTTTCAGGCTGGAAAGGATGGTGCCAGCAGCATGCACGGACAGCCGTATTCAGTGTGTGTGACTGCAGGACGGTAAGGCAGGGTTTGGCTTTTGAGCTGAGTAGATTATATTTTTCTCATTGCCAGCCTTTGGGAAAAGCGGCTTTGTTAGAAAACGCGACTGCCAAGGAACAAATTGCCCAACCGTTTGTTTTCAGAGGTAGGACGAATGCAGTCTTCTCCCAGAATACATTTGTGTTTTAGCTGTCGCTATTGGTGCTCTCTGAAGTGTCCACACCTCATAGGGAACTTCCATTACTCTAGAGAAGGGACCTACCTGGTACTGAGAGAAGAGTGTGGTGTTTTCTCTTTCACATCCAAAGGTTTGTTGAAAATGAATGGCCAACAGGGAACTAACTGCAGCACTGAAAACAGTCCATTATCAAAACTGTTGAAATGCAATACTCGATTAGCTCCTGGGACAAGTAGAGAACAGAGAAAGGAAGAAAGCGCCAAGACCTAACCAGAAACGATGCCGATGCATAGTAACTTATCCTAAAGCAGTTTGTCAGGAACAGAACATTGGTTTTAGCTGTCATAATGTTGCTATTTTGATTTGATGCTTGTTTTTTCTTTAGAAAGATTTACATAAATTTTATGTGTGTTCTGCCTCCATGCATGTGTGTGTACCAGAGGCATGCTGGCTGCGTCCTGAGGACGGAAGTGGTACATTTCATCCCCTAGAACTGGAGTTACAGATGGGGGCGGGTCCACCACGCGCAAGTACTGGGAACTGAACTCCAGTCTCTTGTATGAGCAATAAGTGCTTGCTCTTAACCACCTGTGTCTCTCCAGCCCCAAGATACAGTGTGTTCTTACATTCCGTTGTGTACAGCAGTTCTGTTTTAACTAAAGCACAGAATACCGAAATCCCCGCTCCCACACACACATACATTTATCTAGTGTTTCATCTAATCTCAAATTCTATAAGTGGGTTTAACACATTTTTAATTTGACTTTATCCAGATTAGTTGGACATGCCCATTACGGTACCCTGTCTGGCTTTTGGGTATCTTTGATATAAGCTGCAAACTTTTGTATATTCTGGTGTCTTTCTTTACCCAGAAGGTTTGAAGAGGTACAAGATTTAAGTCTTACTAAATCACTTTGGATACTAATATATTTTCTCCAAAAGTTGAATTTTTATTAAGTACTGTTGTACTTCTGAAAAACTTGATTACTTGGCGGATCACATTCAACCTCAAGTTTAGAGTGAATTCTTCATCCCTGAGCAAATCCTTCAGCAGATGCTTTACTTTCCCTCTGGTGGGTGGGTGATGTACTTCCCCAGCCTCCAGCTCTACTCCAGCATGGTGAACGCAGAATCTCACTTCAGAGCACGCCTTTATCCTGTTTATCCCTGTGTATCAAGCAAGGAAAGTGTACTCACCTGATGCAGCTTGCTGTGTGGTAGAAACTTCCGAATGGCAAAGAGCCACATGGTACCATCTCGTGGGGAAGGTCAACTGGAGGGTCTAACAAGATGCTCTTCAATGAGCTCACCCAACAGATGCTTTTAGAATTACAATTCAGCAAGCTGTTTGGCAGCATGTCCTTTGGGGATTGTGGAAAATGATTTTGGCTTAATAGAAGTTCTATAAGCATTGACTTCTTTTTATTAGCAGGGTTCTTGCCTTGTTGTGGGTTGGAGGAAAGTGGGGGTAAAGGCATGAAGTGTGACTGGGCCTGAGGGCTGTAAAGGGTCTATGCTTCTTGAACCTCTGTGATACCAAGGAGTAAACACCAGACAGCCATGTGTCTGACCCTGAATATAGCTAACCGGGAAGTGGCCCTTTGCCTTCCTGTTGTACACACAGCTGAGGTGACAGCTCCCAGCTCCAGCTCGTCTGCCCTCCCAGAGCTGTTCCGTGTAGGGAACATACTATTGGTTAGTCTAGGAACTCTTTTTCAGTTGCATGACTCCTTTCGTCATGATGGAAAAAAGGACAGGGTAAATCTCTGTAGATATTAATAGTGCTTCTGTTTGATAGATGTACTTAGTCCTTCTGGTGCCTAGGCTCTGTATTCATAGATTCTGCCAACCGTGGGATAGAAGTACTTAGAAAAAATTGTATGTTTTAAAAGTGGACATATTGTCAATGTTGCAGCTCTGAGGGGAGAGGACTCCCCAGTGTGTGTGTTGCAGCTCTGAGGGGGAAGGGTAACCTGGCAGTCAGGAACCAAGGAATACCACAAAGTCACACCACACAATAGCCCTCACACCAGAGACTTGCTGGGAAAGACACATGAGGGCAGCTGCCTGCTCAGAGAAAAGGAAGAAAGAATAAGCAGGAAGCGGGCTTTATGGAGGGCAGGGCTTCTTAACTTGTGGTTCGCTCCTTCGGGTTGGACAACTCTTTCACAGGAGACACCTAAGACCGTTGGGAACACAGACATCTACATTACAATTCGTACCAGTAGCAAAAATACGGTTCTGAAGTAGCAATGAAAATGGCTTTGTTTTTGATGGGGTCACCACAACACATTAAGGGGGAACTACACCGAAGGCTCACAACACCAGGAAGGTGGAGAACCACTGGTAGAAGGTTTTTTGGTAGTAGCGCTTTCCAGGGTGGGGGTTGGTGGGATTTCAGGTCCTAAGCTTGGGGTGAGCACAGGGGTTAGTGGGTTTTCAAGCTCAGGGATTGGTAGGATTTGAAGCCCCAGATTTGAGCTCAGGGTTTTACTCTGTAGGCCAGGGCTGGGTCACCTGAGTCTGGAGGGGCTGTGGGTCCAGTGTTTGCAGCCTTAGAGTGTTCTGTGGGTGGAACCTGACAGAGTCCTTCAAGGGCAGGGCCTGGACATGCAGCTGCTCATTTGAGGGGCTTACACAGACATTCTTTTCTTGTCATCATTTTCTAAACAATATGCAGAACAGCTATACACATCACATTTGCATTGCAGACTCAGTGGCTAAGTGCATTGGCTGCTCTTCCAGAAGACCTAGGTTCAATTCCCAGCACTCACACAGCAGGTCACAACTGTCATTAACTCTGGTCCCAGGGAGGCCGAATGCCTTCTTCTGACCTCCACAGGCCCTCCTCACATGTAGGCATTCACATACATGTAGGCAAGACATTCCCACACATAAAATAAAAATAAAATCTCAAAACATAGAGATTTGCATATGTTATGTGCAAACCTTGCACTGTGCTTTAGAAACTCGAGTATCCTTGAGTTTTGATGTCTGTGGGGGACCGTGCTGCACCCCTTTGCCTACAGTTGTCTGTGGTTCCGTTGTTTTAATCCAAAAAGAATCAAGTAGCCAAGATAGAGACATACGTCCTGCAAAGAAAATAGCTATTGCTTAGGTTTTGTGAAAACTAAATTTTTGTTCACTCTTTGGATAGAACACAGGACGCAGAGAAGTGCTCAGGCTGTGCACTTTGAACACACTCTTGTGAGTTACAATAGTCACACACCGTAGTCTTCAAAGCTCTTCGTCAGGAGCTTCAAGCCGTGGTCTTATATCTGGGACTGTATTTGGCTACTGGCTTAGTTGTAGACTTTTGGTTTTAATATGTGTGTATGTCTGAGTGAGTGCGTGTGTATGTGTGTGTGTGTGTGTGGGTGACTTTCTTGTTTGCTCTTCACTTTTTTTTAAAGTCAGGGTTTCTCTGTGTAGCCCTGGCTGTCCTGGAACTAGCTTGGTAGACCAGGCTAGCCTTGAACTCATAGAGAGCCACCTACTTTGTCTCTCAAGTGCTGGGATTAAAGGTGTACAACATCACCACCAGGCCTTTTTTTTTAAAAGTTAAGAGTCATAATTATTGTTTGTAATTGAAGCATTGACTGGCCATTTTTAAAACATTTTTATTAATTTAATTTTTACATTGCAATCCCAGTTCACCTTCCTTCCTCTCCTCCTGCTCCCCCCATCCCGCCCCCTCCTCCCGTCTGCTCCTCAGAGAGGGTAAGGCCTGCCCTAGGAAGTCTACCAAGTCTGTCCCATCATCTCGTTGAGGCAGGACCAAGGCACCTTTCCACTCCCACACCCCTGTGTCTAGGTTGAGCAAGGTATCTCTCCATATAGAATGGGTCCACTAAGTCAGTTTGTGCATTAGAGTTAGATCTTGGACCCACTGCCAGTGGCCTCATATATTGTCCCAGTCACACCATTGTCACCTATATTAAGGGAGTCTAGTTCAGTCTCATTCAGGTTCCCTAGTTGTCAGACCTGAGTCAGTGATCTCTCAGTAGCTCAGGTCAGCTGATTCTGCGGTTTCCCCACCATGGTCTTGACTCCTTTGTTCATATTATGGCTCCTCCCTCACTTTGATTGTACTCCAGGAGCTTGGCCCATTGGTTAGTTGTGGATTTCTGCATCTGCCTCCATCTGTTTCTGGAAGATGGTTCTAGCTTCTCTAGGGTTGTGGACTGTAGGTTGGGTATCTTTTGCTTTATGTCTGGTATTGACTTATGAGTGAATACATAATATATTTGTCTTTCTGAGTCCAGGTTACCTCACTCAGGATGGTTATTTTCTAGCTCTGTCCATTTGCCTGCAAATTTTAGGATGTCATTGTTTCTTACCACTGAGTAGTACTCCGTTGTTGAGAGCATCTAGGTTGTTTCCAAGATCTGGCTATTATGAATAATGTTGCTATGAACATAGTTGAACAAATGTCCTTGTGGTGAGAATGTATCTCCTTTGGGTATATGCCCAAAAGAGGTATTACAGGGTCTTGAAGTTGGTTGATCTGTAATTTTCTGAGAAACCTCCATACTGATTTCCACAGTGGCTGTACAAGTTTTCAATCCCACCAGCAAGAGAGGAGTATTCCCCTTTCTCCACATCTTCTCCAGTATAAGCTGTCATCGGTGTTTTTGTCTTAGCCATACTGATCTATGCAAGATGGCATCTCAGAGTTTTGATTTGCAGTTCCCTGATAACTATGGATGTTGAGCATTTCCTTAAGTGTCTGTCTGCCATTTAAGATTGTTCTGTTGAGAATTCTCTGTTTAGAGCTGTACCCCATTTTTAATTGGATTATTTGGTGTTTTGGTGACTAGCTTCTTGAGTTCTTTGTATCTGTTAGATGTGGGGTTGGTGAAGATCTTTCCCCATTATGCAGGGACAGGCCTTTTGTTTTAATTAAAAATTATTGTTGTGTGTGTGAGTGTGTGGGCATACACATGTCGTGGTGTATATATGGAAGTTAGCAGAAGACTGGCAGAAGTCTGTTCTCTCCCTGTACCATGTGGCTTTATAGTAGATTGAAATCAGGCCATTATGTCTGGTTTGGTGGCAAACACCTTTGCCCACTGATCTGTCTCACCAGCCCTCATCTTATTTATTTGAGACAGAGTCCCATATGGAATCTGGAGCACACTGGTTTGGTTAGACCGATTGACCAGAAGTCCCAGAGTTCCTCTTGTCTCTTCCTCTTCAGTGCTAGGATTACAGTGCTGTTGGACCTGTATTTTCACATGGGTGCTGAGACCAAAACCAAGGTTTCCATGCTTGCACAACAAGAACTGAGCCATCTTCCCAGCCCTGCTCCCCTGAGGAAAAAAGTATCATAGTATTAAATTGTTCCTTTGTCTTAGTGGAAGCTGTGTAATTTGCACCTTTATTGGGCATCAACACAATCTGAGAGCACAAATTTAGCTCCCTGCCCTGCACAGCTATTGCTAATTTAGAGACATTTGAACTAGAGGCCTTCCCAATTTTTTGTGGATGGGTTTCACTCATGAGGTTCAGGTTAAACACGGAGTCATGATTCTTCTGCCTTACTCTGTGTTGGGGAGCAGCAATTTCAGGGGTGATCTTGTCTTCTACACTGCTGTCCTAGCCTTTAACACGAGTTAGCTCATGAGATGCTTGGATGAATTAGCGGGTGACAGATTTACAGGTGACTAAGGGACAGACAATTGATGGTTTAGCCTGATGGAGAAGATGAATGACAGAGATCTATGCCAGTCCTGGTGTAGGGCAGAGATGGAATGCTCACTGAAGCAGCTCTCTTGCCCTCTTCTGGTAGGTAGAGTTTTACCTGGCTTTCAGATGTGTATTGTTGTAACCTGCTTGATTTGAGAGCTCTTTGTTCCCATTTCTAGTCTCCTTTCCTGGCATCCTGCTCCCTTTCCACTGGCTGCTGTCGCATGTCATTCTCTGCTACCCTGAATGCAGAGGTGTACCCTCTCCGGCTCCACTGGGCCCTTTCTACCCGGGAATCTTAAGACTCGGGGACCTGGGTGTGAGATCTGACTGCCAAGCAGTCACTTTGCTTTGGGAAAATGGGCGCAGCATTTGGAGTTGAAAAGCTCCAGGTTCTAGGTCCATCTGTTTGTGGCTGTTCAGGTCTTTGAAAACTTAGTGTTGCAAAATGTTACTTTATAAATTGCCATGGGAAATACAAGCAGGGCCAGATGGTTTCAGTGCAGAATTGTACCAGAAATTCAAATAAGAGCTAAGACCAATACTCCTCAAATTGTGCC